ATATTATGGTTTCAATTTTTTATTTATCTGAGATTTTAGGTTAGTCTTATTATTTTCTGGGGTTTTGTTTTAGTGGTAAACTTATTTATATTTTATATTAGGTTGAAGTATCTCTTATATTCCTAATAATATTTTCTTTTTTTATGGCTAAAATAATCCAATCTTTAAAAATTTAAGGTGAGACGAGGATGTCTCTGTCTCACTTGTGCGGTTGCTCTTGATCCCATCATTGTTAGAACACAAAAACAGATAGAAGGTTTTAAGAATGGTGCAAGATAGAAATTGGGAAGAAGATTAAATTGAGAGAAAAAGAGAAGTTGAGAGAAAAGAACAACAATATTGGATGAATATGAATTTTGGCATTAATTTGGAATAAGAATATACAAAGTATTTATACATTGAGAGAATAACAAATAAAATTTAAAAATACAACTAAAGTGGTACTGCTGTTAAATTTTGTTATTTGCTGAAAAACTAACAGTGGTAATCAGTAGAAAAATCAACAATAACAGAAATTTAACAGTATCAACACACCACCTCACTTTAGTTGCTCCAAGTCCACCATGCTCAAACACTTCTTCAACCTCTTGAACACATCATTTGTCACACCCTTTGTCAACACATCTGCGACTTGATCTTCGCTTCGACAATAGCTCAATCTAAGCTTCCCATCACCGACCAATTCTCTCAAATAATGAAATCGCATCTCAATATGCTTGCTCCTTCCGTGTGTAATCGGATTCTTCGCAAGATTTATTGTGGAAACATTGTCTAAAAGCAGCGTGGTGGCAGCATCATCACCACAACCCAATTGCTTCAATAGATTCATAAGCCACATAGCTTAGCACGCACCTAACGACGCCGCAATGTACTCGGCATCACAAGAAGAGAGTGCTACAACCGGTTCCTTTTTTCAAACACCACGAGATTGGTGTACTACCGAACATAAAGATGTACCCCGTCGTTGATTTTCGGTCATCTTTATCTCCGCACCAATTAGAATCGGTGTAGCCAAGTAAATTACACTTACGCCCCGTGTCCGATGCAGGAAAGAGAATTCCGCAACCAAGAGTACCTTTCACATATCTAAGGATCCTTTTGACCGCCGCCAAGTGAGACACCTTAGGTTTCTCCATGAATCTACTCGCGATACCGACACTAAAAGCCAAATTCGGTCGAATATTGCACAAATATTGTAACAATCCAATCAAGCTCCGGTAAAGCGTTGGAACGACATCATCCTCCTCATCACTTTTGGACAGTTGCATTCTAGCCTCACAAGGTATAATAGAAGCATTGCAATGCTCCATATCACACCTTTTCAAAATATCTAGAGCATACCTCTTTTGGTGCATGAGCAACCCCACTTTTGACTTGTCAAACTCTATGCCAAGGAAGTAATTCACGACACCAAGGTCCTTCATTTCAAACTCGCTCATGAGCTCACTTTTTAACCTTGAAGTACTCTTGTCATGGCTGCCCGTAATAAAGAGATTATCAACATACAAGCAAAGTATAATAACACCATCATTCGTATCCGATTTCACATAAACTCCATGTTCGGATACAAATTGTTTGAAACCAATGCCAATAAGAAAGTCGTCAATACGTTTGTTCCAAGCTCATAGAGCTTGCTTCAAACCATACAACTCCTTTTGTAGGTTGTAATACTTCATTTCTTGATTTTTTATCACGAAACCGGGTGGCATCCCCACATAGACTTCCTTAACAAGAGGACCATTCAAAAACGCAGATTTTACATCCATTTGGTAAACCATCCAATTGTTGCTATGCGCAATACCGACAACCAAACAAATAGCCTATAATTTAGCCACTGGAGCAAATACTTCGTCATAGTCTATACCCTCTCGTTGCAAGAACCCCTTCGCCAATAATCGAGCTTTGTGCTTGATTACCTCACCTTTGGAATTTGCTTTAACCTTATAGACCCATCGCACCCCTATCCGTGTCTTTCCAAGAGGTAAATCAACCAACTCCCAAGTACCATTTTTCTCAATAGATTCTAGATCCTCTTTCATTGCACATATCCACTTAGGATCGCTTAAGGCTTCTTCCTCATTTACCGGTTCGGATTCGGCCATAAGCGTGAAATGAACAAAGTCATCATCGTTATTCACTTCGTTATCTTGGAATCTCTCAGAGTCTATGAGGAAAGGCTCTTTGCCTCACTGGTCTACCATTATTAACAACATCATTTTGCGCTACTGTAGGTGCTGGTACAGCGGTGTCGGAAGCTTCCAGATCAGAAATTTCAAAAAACTGTTGCTGCTGATTTTTTGTCAATAACCGATTACTCACATTGGTGTAACCGGTTACTGCAGGATTTTCTGCACTTTTGACTTCATTAAAAATCACATCCCGGGTTATGACGATCTTCTGATTTCTTACATCGAATAACTTGTACCCTCCAGTAGAGTGATATCCTACAAATATCATCTTCTCACCCTTATCATCCAATTTCTTCCTAAGTTGGTTCGGTACATGACGATATGCAATCGATCCAAATACGCGCAAATGATTCAAATTCGGTTTGAAGCCACTCCAAGCCTCTTCTGGTGTGAGCTTCTCCAGTTTCTTAGTGGGACACTTATTCAACAAGTAGGTGGATGTAGACACGACCTCACCCCACAATTCCTTAGGTAAATTTTTCCCACATAACATACTACGTACCATGTTCATTATTGTATGACCTTTCCTCTCGGCAACCCCGTTTTGTTGAGGTGTATACGGAGGCACCACCTCACGTACAATTCCCTCAAGATCACAAAACTTCCCAAACTCACTAGAGGTATACTCACCTCCACCATCCGTTCCGAGAATTTTGAGCTTTCGATCGCTTTCACGCTCCACCGTGGATTTGAAATTCTTGAAAACTTCAAATACCTCACCTTTTCTCTTGATAAGGTATGTCCAATGTTTCCTACTAAAATCGTCAATGAATGTGACAAAATATCGATTGCCACTATAAGTCTCTACTTGCATCGGTCCGCAAACGTCAGAACATACCACCTCAAGTAAGCCTTTGGTTCTTCGACCAACATCTTTGCTAAACACATTCTTGTGTTATTTAGCCTTCACACATTCCTCACACAATTCAGTTGGAATACTAATGTGTGGCAGCCCCGTTACCATTTCACTTTGTTGCAACATTTTTAGATCCATAAAGTTAAGGTGACCAAGACGGTAATGCCATAACCACTCATCTCTACATGCCGCGGTAGCTAGACAACTATGCTCCATAACCTTTAACTCAACCTTAAACATTCTATTGGCAGCCATCAGTGCTTTTAGAATCAACACACCATTAGAGTCCAAAACGCGTAAAATCGTGTCCTCCAAGCGAATTTTGTATCCTCTTTCAAGTAATTGGCCAATGCTTAAAAGATTGCACTTAATTCCCGGTATATACAAGACATCTTCGATTCGAATGCATTTTCTCGCTATTTTCTAGAACGGTGCAGTTGTTGTCTCGCAAACTGTCACTACCGTAGCTGCTGCCCGGAACATTTATAATGTCATAACTCTCCTCCGTGATCATTACTAGAAGGGTGTTCTCATCATCTACCTCTTCCCTAGCAACCTTGGCTTCATTATTGTGATTTTTTTTTATTTACTACGACATGAAGTTGCAAAATGTCCAAGCTTTCTACACTTGTAGCATTGCACCTTACTCATATCACGCTTCTTAAAATCATTTCCATGACCATTATCCTTGGAGCTACTTTCACCCTTTTCACTCGTAGAATGCTTTGAATTTTGCGAATCGTTTAAACCAAAATTCTGAAAATTTGACTTACTTCTAGCCGCAAATTTTCCTTTCGACCTCTTAATCTTTTCATTGAAACGTGCTTGCAAAGAAATCTCCGCTTTGATTTTTTTTGCGCCTCTCCCGTCCTTCCTTTGTTCATGCGTCTCTAACGAACTTTGCAATTCATCATTTCCCAAAGTTGTTAGATCCTTCGACTCTTCAATAGCCACAACTGTGTTGTCGAAATGCGATGTTAATGAACGCAATACTTTTGATACAACATTCTGCTCAAGAATCATTTCCTCACATGATTTAATTTGATTAACTAATCGTGTAATGCATGTAATGTAATCGTTGATCGTTTCTTTGTCTTCCATTTGTGTTAATTCGAATTTTCGCTTGTAAGTTTGTAACCTTACAACCTTTGCTTTTACGACACCGACATATGCTTTCTCCAAGATTTCTCATGCTTGCTTCGCCGATTCACAATCGCCGACCTTCTCGAAATTTTCGTTATTGACACACGAATGAATCAAGAATAAGGCTTTGTAATTCTTCTTCTTCTCTTCTTTTTGTGTAGCTCTTTGAATGTCAGTAGCCTCTGCCCCTAATGGTGTAACTCCATTAATGAAGATCTCAAGCACCAAACAAGACCTTCATTTGTTTCGCCCATTTATCATAGTTCTTCGAATCAAGAATTGGGAGATTGGTGGGAATTCGATCATTGGAAACGGTTGCCACAGTTGCAGCGGATTGGGATCAATAACCATTGCTCTTGGTGCCAAATGTTAGAACACAAAAACATATCGAAGGTTTTAAGAATGGTGGAAGATAGAAATTAGGAAGAAGATGCAATTGAGAGAGAAAGAGAATTTGAGAGAAAAGAATAATAGTATTGGATGAATATTAATTTTGGCATTAATTTGGAATTGGAATATACAAAGAGTATTTATACATTGAGAGAATAACAAATAAAATCTAAAAATACAACTAAAGTGGCACTACTGTTAAATTTTGTTATTTGCTGAAAAACTAACCGTGGTAATCAGTAGAAAAATCAGCAATAACAGAAATTTAACAGCATCAACAATCATGACCCATCATATATATACTTTAAATTCAAAATATTTCACTTAACTTTATGCGTTGTTGAACATGTATGTTTAATTTTGATCTATTGAAACAATGTTGAACATTTATCACTAACTTTGACCTGTTGAAAATGATTTAGATGACGAATTTTCTAATTGATTATGCGAAGAAAAATATGGAGAAATTGTTAGATGGAGCGTTGAAAGAATTACGTTATATATGTTGTTTCACTTGCATTGCAAAGGAGTTTGAAGAAGAAAAAGCTTGGTTAAAAGCAGAAAGGAGAACAGTTAGGCAACGTGTTCAGCTTGCAAAAGGAAGAGGAGAAGATGTTCAAGCTAATGCTCTTTTTTGGGAAGAAGAAGTTGATAAGATCATTGAAGAAGACTCCAAAACAAAACAAAAATGCTTTTTTGGATTATGTCCGGATTGTATATGGCGATACAAAAGTGGAAAGGAATTGGAAAATAAGAAAGAGAAGATAAAAAGATTTGTGGATACTGGAAAGGAACTTGCAATAGGTCTTCCTGCCCTGCTTCCAGATGTTGAACGATATTCATCCCGACACTATATTTCTTTTAAAAGCAGAATATCAAAATATAACGAGCTTTTGGATGCATTGGAAGATGAACAAAATTATATAATTGGGTTGCAAGGGATGGGGGGCACAGGAAAAACTACATTGGCCAAAGAAGTGGGTAAGAAACTTAAGCAATCCGAACAATTTAAGTACGTTATTGATACGACTGTGTCATTTTCTCCAAATATTAAAAAGATTCAAGATGATATTGCTGGACCCTTGGGATTACGATTTAATGAGTGTAGTGAATCAGACCGACCCAAAAAACTATGGAAAAGATTAACCAATGGTGAAAATATTCTTCTAATATTGGATGATGTTTGGGGAGATATTGATTTTGAAGAAATAGGGATTCCATATAGTGACAGTAACAAAGGTTGTAGAATTCTTGTAACCACACGCAATATGCTGGTATGCAAAAGATTAGGATGCAATAAGACAATCAAGTTGGAGCTCTTGTCTCAAGACGATGCATGGGAAATGTTCAAACGACATGCTGGTCTGACTGAAAATTCAAGTCAAAGTTTGATCGACCTGTGTTTTAAAATTGCAAATGAATGCCAAGGATTACCAATTGCAATTGCAATTATCGCAAGTAGTTTGAAAGGAAAACAACATCGCGAAGAATGGGATTTGGCCTTAAAATCCTTGCAAAAGCATGCACCAATAGACAAAATTGATGATGATGACGATGATGATGATGATAATTTGGTTAAAGTATATGAACGCTTAAAGTTTAGCTATGATAATATGAAGGATGGAAAGTCCAAAAGGCTATTCCTTTTGTGTTCTGTATTTCCAGAAGATGAAGAAATTCCTACAGAAAGGTTAATCAGACTTGGCATAGGAGCAGGACTTTTTGGGGAAAAATATGGCAACTATAAAGATGCTCGAAGTCAAGTAGTTATATCCAAAAATAAACTCCTGGATTCTTGTTTATTGTTGGAGGTCGATGATGATAGAGTGAAAATGCATGACTTGGTTCGTGACGCAGCCCAGTGGATAGCGAACAAAGAGATTCAAACAATAAGGCTGTATGATAAAAATCAGAAGGCAATGGTTGAAAGGGAGAAAAATATTAAGTATTTGTTATGCGAAGGAAAGCTAAAGGATGTGCTCTCTTGCAAGATTGATAGTTCAAAGCTCCAGATTCTAATTGTCAATATGCATGAGGATGGTGATTTCTATGACCAGAAAATTGAAGTCCCAAATTCATTTTTTGAAAATATTAGTGGCCTTCGTGTTTTTTATTTATTTACTGATCTTTATCAACTACCTCTATCATTGCCTCAATCAATTCAGACGTTGAAGAATATTCGATCTCTTCTTTTTTATGCCGTTGATTTAGGTGATATCACTATTTTGGGAAATCTGCAAAGTCTTGAGACACTTGATTTGGAATTTTGTAAAATTAATGAATTTCCAAAAGGAATGGAAAATCTACCGAATTTTAGATTGTTGAAACTGAGATTTTGTGATATTAGTTGGAATAATCCATTTAAAGTGATTGAAGGATGCTCCTCACTTGAAGAGTTGTATTTCATACGCAGTTTTAATGATTGTTGCCGAGAAATATCCTTCCCATTGTTACAAAGATTTATATTAACTGATGATCCTTTTCCGTCTGATAATGATTCATTATCAAAATGTGTGTCTCTTATACATCAAGAACATTTACTCTCCAAAAGAACACTGAAGGACTGTATTCAAGCAGCAGAGGCTCTTAGACTAACAGGAATCTGGTGGGAATGGGTAAATATCATACCGGACATTGTTCCTATGGATCATGGTATGAATGATCTAGTTGAGCTTACATTGAGTTGCATTTCCCAACTTAAGTGTCTCGTTCACAATAAGCATGGTAATTCTCAAGTAACAACTGTCTTCTCCAAGTTGGTTAAACTACAATTGATAGAAATGGAATGTTTGGAGGAATTGTGCAATGGTCCTCTTTCCTTTAATTCTCTCAAGAGTTTAGAGTATCTGTCCATCGTGAAATGCGATCAATTACAAAGGATATTTACATGCAACCTAAACCTTTGCAATCTAAAGAGCTTGATTTTGATGCATTGCCCGATGTTGATCACTGTAAGTGAGTTGACTACGTCTCGTAGCCTAATGTCATTGGAGGAATTGAAAATAAGTAAATGCGAGAAAATTGAATACATAATAGATGAAAGGAAAGAGAAGGAATCGAGAGGAGAAATAGTTGATGATGAATGCATGAGGAGTCACAAACCAATGTTTCCAAAACTTAGAGATCTTCATATTGACCAGTGCCATGGATTAGAATTCAAATTTCTGTTTTTGTCTATTCAGGATCTTCCGGCACTAGAATCTTTATCAATATCTTGTCGTGATCAGTTGCAATACATATTTAGCCAATATGTACAACTTGGTTCTCTAAAAAATATGGATCTTCAGAATTTGCCAAATTTAATAAATATTTTTCCAAAATGCCATCCTACCACATCTTCTGGAGAAGCTTCCAAGCCGGAAAAACAATTAGAACCTATGAAAGGCAGTATCTTTTTATGGACGAATATATGTTGCCTTGGTAAAAAATACAGACACAAATCAATGACTAACGCAAGTACTACACTTTCCCTCAATTACCTTTCATGGATAAAAATTGAGCGATGTGAAAAATTGGAATTTGTGTTTTCCACATCTACATTAAGGTGCCTACCACAATTGATTTTTCTAAAAATAGAAGAATGCAAAGAGTTGAAGCATCTTATTGAAGATGATTTGGAGAATGAAAAATCCATAACTTTTCGGTCTGCAAACCCATACTTTCCAAAGCTAGAAATACTTATCGTAGGAAATTGCAACAAACTCAAATGCATCTTTCAGACCTCCGTATGTAAAGAGCTTCCAAAGCTAAAATTTCTGATGATAAGAGAAGCATATGAGCTGCAAGAAATATTCAAAACTGAAGGTGATGATCAGAAACTCGAGATTCCAAATCTGAAAGTTGTATCATTTATCAATCTTCCAAACCTCTGCTATGCCCAGGAAAAGCACTTTCAAGCTGTAAAGTATCGTCTTGTACAAAACTGTCATAAACTCTCTCTGACTTCAGCACTAATACCCAATAACAGTCATGACATGGATGACTTTGAAGACATTTTTCCTTACATGGAAGGCTTAGGTACACACTCTATGAATATTTCTCAACATTATTGATTACATATTATGCGATAATAATATTTATAAAAATAACGGACATGCAGATACTTTATGAATTTGTGCATGTGTAAGGATACTTATTTCTCATACTTTATGAATTTATGTGCATGTTTACACATGCTCAGAATGCCACAAAGTTAAGTAGAATATAAGGATATATTCATTTTTAAAGTTGAAAGTAATGATGATTTATAGTTGAAAGTAGGTATTTTGATTTGTGATTATGATTATAAGGAATATGACTTGGTTTACCCAATTCTCACCCAAATTCCCTGTGTAAGAATTCTGTTAGGAATTCAATTATGAGTTTCCATTATGTAACCAACTATAAGTATCTAGAGTGTAAACTAAAATCATCTATCAACTAATGTTTTTCAATTTCTCTAACTAGCTTTTTTTCTCTTCTCTTTAGATTTTCAAATAAGTGGTGATATTGGGTTTCTAATGCAACCATTAATAAATGTGAACAAAAGCTATGACACCTGTAAAGAAAAACCAAGTTTAGAAATCCCTCAAGAATTTGCAGCTGGGGTTGAAGCTGAAGCAGCATCAGAATCAGAAAGTATATTGACTTCTTCTTCAGCTTCGGAATCGGGAAGTATATTGACTTCTTCACAGCCACAGGTCAATACTATACATTATATAAAAAATCTAAATAATCAAAATGAGTTTGAGAACATGATTTTTTGTAAAATGCTATATTCCCTTGGATAATCCTATTATATACATAAAACTTTGTAATAATTTTAACTAATATAGATTCATATCACTAATGCTTTTGTTATAGGTGTTGGTGAATGAACAATCAATGGATCAACAACATTCACTTCAAGAAACTGATACTACCATTAAACCTCAGGTAAACCTTAAAAAAAATGTCTGGTGCTTCTTACAAATATATTACAACTTATTTACATTTGCATGCCACGAAATTAGTTGGATGGTTCTGCCGCTCCAGATAAAACTTTAGCAGCAAATTCGTCTACCATTTCAGAAACAAAGAAAGAGCCACCTATACAATTAGTTTTTCCAAAACAGAAGGTATTCCTCTCTTTTGCATGTATTTTTTTAAAACTATTTTTCAATGTAGTAAGATGGCGATTCTATGCAGAAAGAGCCACCTATAAATTTTAAGACAATTTCATTTGATTCTATGCAGAAAGATGGTGATTGCCAAATAGCCACAACCTCTTTGTCCATTGCTACTACGGAGACCAACGATAAAGGTGAAGAGTCTTTGAATATATTTTCTATTCTTACGTTACCTCAAAATCATCACCCTTTTGATTTTGAACTTTTTCCTATCCCACAAATTATTCAGTTTCTCCGAATGCTGATGCTTCCATGAAAGTAAGCTCAAATGTTGAGGAACAGTTTCCTAAAGATGATAAAATAATAGTTTCCAATTCTAAACCCTCTCCTAAAGGTATTTACTACTTTCATTTTCTTTTTTATTAACTTTGTTGTGCTCAAAGAGGCTTAACCATTATTTTCTATTCTTTCAGGTGACCCTTCTCAAAAAGTAGAGGAGTTGAGTTCTTGTTTGCCTGTCACAAGGGATTATGAGAAGTTGTCTTTGTTCTCATATGAACTGAACTTATAAACTATCTTATTATGTTTCTGTATTTAAGACTAATGTTGTTTGATGTATGTTACGTTATTGAAGTAAATAATAATATATGCACAACTGTTACAATAAAATTTTCATTATTGTTCTTCTGTTGACTGCTTGCAAGTTGTAGATCATTCTTGGTTGTTCTAGAAATCTCGTCAATTGGTTCATAAGAAGAAATATATTTGATTAATATTCAGCAGTATAAAATTAGTATTGATAATGTATTTGGTACTCTGTAGACTGTTGTGACAAAAACTGTGAACTAATATAATAACTAAAAGAAATACTATCAAATCACTCATCTATTAATGTAAATATATCTAAAAATACTTTGAAAATTTCTAAGTTGCAGGTCATCTAAACCACCAATTCCAAAGTACGTTAATTTGGTAGCGTGTACAATGTATTTTTGGCAAATTAATTTGAATTAAGGAACCTACCAATCCAAATTACAATTTTATATTCAAAACGTTTGAATTTAAAACTGTAAACAAAAAAGATTTACATGGAAGAAATATTTCATTATATTAGTGAAGAGTTTCTCACAGGGATGAATTATAATTTTCCCTGATTTATTATATTAGTGAAGAGTTTAAATATTTCAAATCACTGGTGCATATCATGGAAGAAATATAATTTAGTGAAAGGATAGCTCAACAAAAACACAACCTATATAAACATAAATCTATAATTAGGATTTATGTTGATCAAGTGAATCACACTGAAACTTAAATTTCGAATTTTCACAAAACAATTATATTGCCTACTATAGTACGGGATGATTTATAAAACGAAAAGTGACTTACAGTCCCGATAGCACTTTTATAGTGTCATAGAGAAACCACTGCAGAGTTATAACTGGTCCTAGAAGTGCAATGCGAATAGGAAGACTTCTGGTGAACAGGTTTATGAATCCAATATTCTTGATGGCCTGAAAGTTAGCAAAACCAATAAAGTTAATTTGACTAATTTTTCATATTAGGTCCACCGAATGCTCAAAGGATGAAAACATGACCATAGAGACTGTGAAACCAAAAAGATTAAGAAAGTATAAACTGTCAATAATCCTGTGCAACATGGCAATGTTGATCACATTCGCGGGAGTAGTATTAAGAATGTAATATTAGAAGCAAAATAATGTTGAAGGTAGAGTAAGAATATGTTACAAGGAAGATTGCGGCTCCACAGCGGAATAAGACCCCTATAGAAACTGGAGTAAAGGAAAAGCCATAACAAACATTAATTAAAGACAGAAAGAGAATAAAAAACAGAATGAATATTATGTAAATGTAATTTACCCAGCAAGACCTTCATTTCTGTATACCAACGAAAAACCGTTAGATAAACCCTTAGCAAAATTAGGTTGAATCTGAAGACGAATTTTAACGGCTTCAAAACGAGCAAGTGTGAGATCAGCTAAAATCTATGCAGAGAGAGCGCTAAGAAAGAAAATAGAATTCCTGGTAGAATGAAGCAGGAGATATTACCTGCTACCGGAAAAGGTAGGCTAAAACAAATAATAAACTCACAAGTGACCAAAGTTTAATCCAAGAATAAACTAGAAAGAAGCGATCAAACAAGACTCATCCCGAGGAGGAAATATCTCAACGGGTCCAGATAGTGAACTGGAAAGGAAACTGGATCAACTTCTTTCACGAGAAACAAACTCAGTGGAGAATTAAAAAGGAATAAATTATTTCTTCCAAATGGTCGACACTCTATATTGGAGAGAGGACACACACACACTCTGTGGAGTAAAACAACACCAGAGAGCAGGGAAACATCAGCGATGCCAAATGCATAATGATGAAACAACAATGATATTATATTTGAATCTAAAGTTCGAAAGATTCAGAGGCAACGCCACACGGTAAGCCACAACACCAACTCGCGCAGTAATCTGATACGGATCAATAAAATGAGAAGTCAACTTCTTCGATTGCAAAGCACGACCCACACCCGTAACCGGTGTAACTCTCAAAAACACATGATCGCCTTCTTGAAACTCAAGATCCTTCCTTCCCTTATCATTATAACTCTTCTGCCTCCTCTGAGAAGCTTTCATCTTCTCCCGAATAAACTTCACTTTCTCCGTCGTTTGTTGTACCATCTTCGGTTCAACTATCGACTTCTCACCAGTTTCATGCCAACACAAGGGTGTTCGACATCTCTGACCATACAAAGCCTCAAATGCTACCATACTAATACTTGAATGGAAACTGTTATTGTAGGTGAACTCAATCAATGCCAAATAACTATCCCAAGCACCACCTTTCTCTAGCACACAAGCACGCAACAAATCCTCTAACGATTGAATTGTCCTCTCGGTTTGACCATCCGTCTGCGGATGATAAGCCGAACTCAATCTTAGCTTAGAACCCAAAGCCTTTTGCAAACTCTCCCAAAACCTCGATGTGAATCTAGGATCCCTATCTGATACAATAATCTTAGGAACTCCATGTAACTTCACAACCACACGAACATAAATCTCGGCTAACTTCCCCAAAGGATAGATAATATCAATCGGAACGAAGTGAGGAGATTTAGTAAGCCTATCAACAATCACCCAAATAACATTATGACCTCATTGCGTATTCCGGAACCCTGTAACAAAATCCATCGATATACTATCCCATTTCCACTCTGGAATATCCAACGGTTGCATCAATCCACTAGGCTTTTGATGTTCCAACTTAGACTTCTGACAAGTCAAACAAGCATACACAAATTGAGCTACATCCCTCTTTAATCCGGACCATCAAAAGATTTTCTTCAAATCTTGATACATCTTATTCGCTCCCGGATGAATACTTAAGTTACTTCGTGTCCTTCTTCCAATATCATCTTTTTCAACTCCACATCATCGGGAATACAAATACGACCACGAAATCTCAAAACTCCAAAATTATCAACCTTGAAATCCTCGTTCTCATTCATCATCAAATCAATGAACTTCAAATCCAACTTTTGCTTTTCACATACGGTTGCAAGAAAAGCATTCGTAACATGCAGCATACCAAGTCTCACACTACTCGGCGTCATTTCACAAACCAAAATCAAGTCTCTAAAATTCTCCAATAATTCCCATTCTCTCATCATCAATGCAAACATATGTAACAACTTCCGACTCAAGGCATCGGCCACCACATTTGCCTTACCCGGATGGTAATTCAAACAAAAATCATAATCCTTCAAAAGCTCCAACCACCTTCTTTGTCTCATGTTCAACTCTTTCTGATCAAATAAATATTTCAAACTCTTGTGATCACTAAAAACTTCAAACCTTGCACCATAAAGATAGTGCCTCCAAATTTTTGAACAAACACCACGGCCGCTAGCTCCAAATCATGCGTAGGATAATTCTTTTCATGCACTCTTAATTGTCTCAAAGAATAGGCCACAACTTTTCCACCTTGAATCAAAACACCACCTAAACCCGTCAAAGAAGCATCACAATAAACCACAAATGGTTCCAACGGATTCAGAAAAATCAAGATTGGTGCCGTCGTCAATCTTCTCTTTAGTTCAATGAAACTCTTTTCACAATCAATATCCCAAATGAAAGCCTTTCCTTTACAAGTCAATTGCATTAACAGAAGTGCCAACTTTGAAAATCCCTCAATAAACCTCCGATAATAACCCGCCAAGCCTAAATAGCTTCGAACCTCCGTAACTGATCTAGGAGACTCCCATTCAATCATCGCATCAATTTTGGATGGATCCACACTAATACCATTACCGGAAATAACATGTCCAAGAAAACTTACTTGCGACAACCAAATTTCACACTTCGATAACTTAGCATACTATTGCGTCTCTTTAAAAATCTGTAACACCATCCTTAAATGCTCTTCATGCTCCTCTTGAGACTTAGAGTAAATAAATATATCTTCGATGAACACAACCACAAAACGATCCAACTGATCATGAAAAATACGATTCATGTATTCCATAAACACACCCGACGCATTAGAAACCCCAAATGGCATCACTAAATATTCATAATGACCATACCGTGTCCTAAAAGCTGTCTTTTGAATATCCTCTTCTTTCACACGAATCTGATGATATCTCAATCTCAAATCAATCTTGCTAAAAACACACGCACCAATCAGTTGGTCCATCAAATCATCGATCCTTGGAAGCGGATACTTGTTCTTAATCGTCACCTTGTTCAATTATCGATAATCAATGCATAACGCATACTTCCATCTTTCTTCTTTACCAACAATACCGGTGCACCCCAAGGAGAAACACTTGGTCTTACAAATCTCTTTTCGAACAAGTCATTCAATTGCTTCTTCAATTCTACCAACTCTGATGCCGACATACGATACGGTGCCATCGAAACTGGTCTAGTACCAGGAACTAGATCAATAGAAAAATCAACTTCTCTTTCCGGCGGTACATCCGTAATATCTTCCAGAAACACTTCTGGAAAATCACACACCACTAGAAACACATCGAACTCAACTTTGCTCTCCACCGACAATGATGCAAACAAACCAAACAACTGAGCTTCATCCGCTAAAAGTTTCATCAACTCTTTAGTGGATAGAAAACTATCATCTTTAGCATCTTCCAAAGAAGGAAACCTCACTAACTCCGACCCTGAAGTAGGAGTCTCAATAACCATCTCACCACCACAAGAAGACACACACAAATCCAAACGCTTAGCGCATTCAAAAGAAATGAAAGAATGAGTCGCTCCAGTATCAATAATAGCAATTAAAGGCATATTATTAATAAAGCATGTACCTTTAATCAAATGATATGCACTAGTAGTGTTTGAACCTGCTAATGCAAACACCTTTTTGCCCGCTTGAGCTTGTTTCAGTTTAGTACACTTAGTACTAATGTGACCAACTTCTCCATAATTAAAACACTTCACCACATTCCTTCTACAATTAGTTGTAGCATGTCCAATACCTCCATAGTTAGAAAACTTCACAATGGTCTTCCCACACTCAAAAGACTTATGGCCCATC